CCTCCTGCATAATTGCTGCTAAAGGTCACACAAGGTTTGTTTTTCCCAAGCTCCCTGGCAGAGTGAACTGGCCAAAGGCTTGGGATTCAGATGGAGAGGAAGTGCTGCTCCTCCAGGCCATGGCACTGCTGTGGATTTGAGGCTCTGGAATAAGAGCCTGCTTTGCTTGCTGGTTGCTTTCATTTCATTACCATCTATTCAGCCTTCTACATCACTGATTATTCCTCCACTGGAACATAGATGGCCCAAAGCTTTTTCCACTGGGTTTTCCAAAGAGGTTTCCCAAAATACTTTATTCCAGTTCCACCTCCAAGGGCAGCTGTGATATCTGCCTCCAAATAATTAAGACTAGCATCAAGTAGAGGTTTTTTACAGACTAACCTCTTTTTTTCCTCCTCATTAGCCTGGCAACTGCATCTCTCAGCCCATGCTAAGGTCAAGAAACTTTGTGAGAGGACCAACATAATACAAAATCTCTCACAGAGTCTCTGTATTCTTCAAGACTTCTGAGACACAGGAGAACTTGACAGAGCATGAATATGTTGCTGGTGGATCTGTTTTTGATAGTTGGCTGTGAGGGATGTAATAGTGGGATATCTATAGAAGTTATAATTTAATGAACTGAAAGGTTTATTTCTGCAGGTCTCTAAACCAGGGAAGTGAGGTAGCCTGGTGTTTTGTAATCCTGTTTTACTTAATTAAAGTATTCCTGTTGGCTGGGTGGAAAGATGTGTACACTGTGACTACCACATGATGAAAGGAGACATCATGAGTGTACATGACTCCTTCCTCAGACTCCATCAGAGCAAGGGCCTCTGTATTTCCTCTGGAAGAGAATTAGCATACTTCTTATTGAAATGTTTTTGGGGTTTGGTATTTTGTTTTGTTTTGTTTTGCTTTTTTTTTTAATGTTGTGTGTTTTTTTCCCCTCTCATATCCAGCTGCATCAATTTCCTGATTACAAGAATTAAATTGTTTAGTTATCTGTAATGTGCATAGACTTCTGTGAAGCTTTACAAAGAAATCTTTGCTGTTAGGCTAAGAATGGTTTATTGTAGCACCTGCAGTTCCTATTATGCTGAGTTGTTAATGAACTGAACAACTTTTCCTCCTTCTTAGCATGAGAAACACTTCTCATGATCTTACTCATGAAAAAAATTGCATTGAGGTCCTCTCATAAGTTGTCTTGGGTTTCTGCCATTGGAGGAGGGAGTCCATACGCAGCAGCATCTGGCAGAACATCTGCATCAAGTCCCTGCTGACATCCTGAGATCTGTCTGCCCAGGCTCACTCCTCCCTTGATACAGAACTTGACACATAATGTACCCCACTGCCAGACAACCTCAGCAAATATTTCTCTCTCTAAGGGAGGCTGTGTCAGTTTTTCAGTGTGTTCATCCTGTGTTACCTCATTGCTCACCTGATGGAAGACTGTTGCAGATGATAGATAAATATGATTGTTCATAAATAATACAGCTAGGATGAGAACAGTTCTCCCAGCCAGCCGGATGACACCCCTGCCCTCAGATGAGTCCTGGGGTGAAATGGACTGTTCCATCCCACCCCCCAAAAGATGTATGGCTCATCCCACACCTCTGTACCCTCCCCTAAAACATTAGTGTCTGTAACCCCATTGGATATGCCTTATCCCAACCCACCTTGAAGCTTGCCTGATAAGGAGGCTTCGAGGGGCCACGCGGTCTCTTGGAACTTCCTCCCCTCCTGGAACCTCATCCCCTCCCTTGGAACTTCCCCTCTCCTAGAGCATCCTTTTGTCTCTCCCCTCCCTCACCCTCTCAGGCCCGGCCACGTGCTGTGTCTGGGAGCACGAGGCAGGACCTTCTGCACCCCCAATAAACCTCTTTCCCCAAGAGCAAACTACAGAGATCTCTGCCTCCATCCATCAACACTGTGCTGGAGCGTGCTATTTTCCTGCAGAAGACTACTCAGTCTCTTTACAAACTGCTTAGGCTCTCTGGAAGGAACCTGATGAAGAACCTTGATCTGAGCAACCTGGAAAGCCTGATCTAGGTGCAAAGGTCAAATCTAGCCTTCTCCAGACCAATGACCAAGGAGTTTTAATTCTTCACAAATGACAGGAAAACTAAGTAACTAAGATAAACATTAATGACCATCATCACTTCCTTGCTGAAGGTCCCCATGCCAGCTCTGTAACTTTTTTGGTTGAAATCCAGTTATATTTTTTTTTGCTGCTATTCTACATCACTTCGAGTTATACATTACTGTCAATACCCTCTGGCAGACCCTTTCAAAGCAATTGAGTAACTCAATGTTTAATAAAGATAGATTAATTTTATAGTTTAAGTTCCGGGAAATACAAGATCATTTTTCATTCTGAGTTGGCCATGACAATCCTTAAACTAGTACTGGAATAGGGGGAATAATAACTTTGTGGAAATTATTCTTGAGATCTGTACTGTAAGGAATGGTGAATCAATGACATCTTCCTTTCTGTATTTGTATTATTTTTTAAATTGAACATTTGATGCCTATGCACAGCTGCAGGAATGATTCTTATTTCCAAATGCCCTTGCTAGTGGGGAATGTTTTTTCTTTCTTTTTTCTATCTGTAAAGACATATAAAACAGAATTTATCATTTTCCGTAGATAGGAATTAATTTAGGAAGAGACATTTGTTCTGTGTACAGGCGCCTAATATAGTGTAGGAGAAACACTTGCCACTGTGGGTTTGAGGGTGCTACATGCCCAAGCAAAGTGGGCTGTCTCAGATGTGCTGCCTCTCCATCACCTCATAACACTGACATAAGCCCAGTCGCAGCCGTGTGTACATGAAAGGTTGAATAATGCATGGGAACAGTCTCTTGAGCATTTATTTTAGTCCTTTCATTTGGCCTTCAGGCATTTCCCACTCCATCCTGATATCAACTTGAAAATTTTCTAAGACAGAAGGTAAAACCCACTGAAGGAAAAATTTCAAAACCGTTGCTTTTGTTGGAGTCATACATCTGATATTTCTGTGGAGAATTTACCAAATTTCATCATTGCAATCTTCAGGAAAAGTCATACATATTACAAATAATTCTTATTTTGAGGTACCCCTTAACCAAAGGGATGTAATTACCACTCTGTAACATTTCAGATAAGAAGCTATATTTGACCAAATTGTATCACTGAAAGATAAAGGCCACTCTTCTATTAATTAAAGGCAGCTGATGAACAGTTTATGAGAAAATAAAAAATTCAGATGTATTCTCATGAATAACACAGTCATGTTTATAACTTATTTTAATGTGAACTCAAAAACCTCCATGTATAAGTGCAAGGACTGTCAAATATAATTCACAAGAACAGGCTGCTCTTTAAAATAAAAATCTATACAGTGTACTGGGGGACTGCCTCCACATATATTGACTAACTTTAAATTAATTTGTGGCTTCGGCAATGATCTAAAAAAGCCACTCTACTCTCTTTTCTGTTTAGTGCATCCTATTATTACTGGAGCAGCAGAGACTGAGTGGAACAAAGGCAGAGTACTGCCTGAGAAAAGAAGTTCAAGAAAGGCTATGATTAACGAACACATAAACATAAACATGGTCACCTGCAGTCATAAGCTCTTTAGGGCAGCAAAAACCCATGATACTGTTGTTAAAACAGCCCTGCCTTAAGTAGACAAGCATAGTACCTTAGCTCATTTTAAGCTGAAGGAAGTCATCAAAAGGGAAGTAGGGAAAAACCTGAGTTTCACCATGCTTGTGGCTCTAAAGGTTCTTCAGGCAGGAAAGGCTAAATAAAGCTGCCCTGAATTCACAATTTGCTGTCCTCACCAAAACAGAAAAAGTTTTACTACATTACACAGTAATAGAGACTTGAGGCCTCTTCAGTTCCAGCCAGGTGAGAGCAGAGGAGGCAGCAGGTCACTCCTCAGCCCCTCCTTGCAAAAGGATAAGGCCTAATACTACCAAAGAGCAGTAGGCATGAGTGTGGCATTCTCTGACTGGATAGGAGTCCCACAGACATTAAGCAAAACAACTATGCAGAATAGTTTCAAAAGGACAACAAGAGACAATTTTTCTGGCACCTTCCTGAGAACCTAATAAATGAAAGTGAAAAAGCTGTGTCTCAGCTTGTATTGTGGTAACAAATCAGGCACCAGCAATGGTAGGAGATTCACCCAGTAGGTTAAACTCTGCTCTATTCTTTTTGTAGCCTGTCCAAAGCAACCCAGGACTGCAGTCCTACTCTAAACACCATCAGCTCCCCACTGAGCAGGAGAGATGCTTTTGGAGTGCAGAATCAGCAAAAGGGCTCCACTGCCATTTCCCTCCACATCCCTCCTCTCTGCTAAGTCTCACAGGAGAAGGTGCCTCTAGAGAAATGTTGTCAGTATCAGAGCATTTACATTTAACTCTGTAACAGACATACAAACCCACTATATCTTAGCATAATGTGACTTATTTATACATGGAGGCAGCAGTGACTGCTCTGACGTATATTTTGCCCCCGAACTCTGTTTCTTAAATAAACAACCCATTGGTCCAAGAAGCTGCTGCTTTGCTCCAGACACCTTTACTCCTTGTGGCCCTTTTATCATCCTATGAAAAAGAAGTTGTAGTAGCTCTGACTTGATATCAGACTTAGCTCTTCATGAACAACATGCTGACTTGTGAGGTGGTGGACTCCTGGAGGAACTGGCCATTTTGCTTCAATTTTCTTCCAGACTTGTTTCTGGAGGAAGTGCAATAGAACAATGACATCTGTTTGTCACCAAAGTACATACTCACCTCCTGTGGCTGCACTATTTTAAATTTCTACAGTATCTTTGTGAAATGGCAAGAAGAGTACTAAAGACCTTTATGTTGCTTATTTTTTCCACAGTCCAGCGAAACAAAGCTCTTTGAAGCTCATATTTGTAACTGACTTGGACATATACCTTTCAGGGAGAGTTTAGGCAAGGCATGAACTGTGGTCCAGGGTGGATAGCTTTAGCTATGGAGAATAAGACAACGTAATCAAGCCTATAGATTGACTAGTCAGGTATTTATTTAACATGCGAAACAAGTACAACAATCACAGAAGCTAGAAAAAACGGAGCACTGAAAAAGGTATTCATGCAGAATGAGTATTGTACTTGAACTATCCTCCACAATCATCAGTTAGTCTGTCCCAATATTTATATTTCATTATTACAACTGCCAAAACTGGCAACCACCAGGATTGTTGTCTCAATTAAGGACAGTAAACAGATTGTCCCATTTTTTTAAATGAAAAAATCTAAAATGTAATACTTCACAGTTTAACATGTTTATTCATTTAAACGAGCTAAAAAATAGTGGTGTGACATCTGCTTGAGAGACACTGGTACCTAACATTTTGGCTGTCTCCCCACTAATTTGATTGTGATTAAGGGGGGATAAAAGGATGAGTAGAGGATTCTGTCAATTAAATGAATTGATGAAGTGCAAAAAAAAATATTTTTTCACTCTTGGAAATGCATAGAAAGAAATACATCTACAAAAATGCATTACAGCAAACTAAGAGGGTGATGGAGAAAAGTACTGCAAAATATCTCCACTGGCTCTTTCAGGAAAAAAATATTGTAAGCATAAGATCACAGATAATCTTTGCCAATTTATTCATCTCATGGCTTCACTTCCCAAAGTGCAGGCATAATACTCTGTAGAATCTTTCAGGATGCAGTTCCAACATCACATCTCTCCTGTGTTATTGATGTGCCATGCTGTTATTTTCTTAGTCATAAGCACTGCTAATTACTATGCTACTGTAAGTAGAACTTGAAATGCGATCAAGATCCATAGTATCTTTTTTGTTGGCACTCTAACTTGCCTACTCTGCTTTTCAAGTACAGTTCTCTAAAGAAAATTGTCCTGAATGTACTTGACCTTCACCACCTGGCTCAGCTGTGCCTTACAGGGACAATCCCTTATCAGACATCACTCTGCTGGGAGCTCCTAGAAGCATTTTCCTTCTGAAAAAGGCAGCATGCAAAACTTGCCCCTAAGTAAGCAGATGAGCCTCTTCCATGGCAGCAACCTTCATGGAAGAGGCATGAACAGCTTTGTAGGGCTTTCACTGTTCTTTCCTTTAGCAGAGTTGTTCAAAACCTGTGTTTTCAAATAAAACTTTTAGGTCAGCTGCTCTAGAGGACACCTAAGTAAACAGATGAGTTTGCTCATGTTGTAGCTACTCGTAGTTATGTGTTGCAGCACAATCTCCCAGTCTACATATCCTGCTACAGACCTGCTACAGCTGGTCTGATGCAAGGAGGGAGCTGATTCTAAATCACATGATGTCTATATGATATGCAACAGTAAACTTTAACTACAGCATTCTTCAAGAAAAGTTTAAATGTATCTCTAGGGTCTATTAAGGGAAATGCTTAACTTGCCTCCTAAGCTTCCAGTAAAATAAGTTTATGGACTCTAGGTAGTAGAGCCTAGAGCCTTTCCTTGGCAATCTTCACTAGAAGCACTAGTAAAAATACCAGACTGAGGCTTCTGTCCTGAGATGGTCTACATGTTGATTCTGCTACTGAAGAATCAAAGAGAAAAGGAAAACCACCTAAGAAGATTTGTTGAGCAAAATCAATTCTGGAAGACTGTTATGCCTTCCTAGCCAGAGATTCTTCCAGACAGGATATTTGCTCCCACCCACAGCACAAGGACTCAGCATAGGCTCAGTATATCTCCTCCACAACCTCTGCTAGAAAGAAATTCAGTTTACTCCAGGAGTAGAGGGCAAGTACTGATGTATCCAGATATTCTAAAACTGCTTACTTTACAGTGCTTACTTTTGAACATTGTGCTGTTTAGATTGCTTTAATGTCCTTTCAAATGTATACATAATTCAGTGTGTTCAACATTAGTAAGAGAACCAAAATATAAAAAAGTCATTTATTAATAAAATAGACACTGAGAAACTCACAGAAAGATAAATGGTCCAAAATCCAAAAGGCATATTTCAATCTCAGTTATAATTAAGGGCAAAACAAGCAACATATCCTACTAGGAATTATTGTACTGATAAGAGAAGATGTGTATTTGCTGCAATATTTACCATGTATTTCTATATATACTGAACAGAAGTTTACCCGGTCTAAGCAAAAATAAATTTTCCAATTACATGAGAATATCCTTCTGGTACCTGAAGGAAGCCTACAAAAAAGATGGACTTTTTACAAAAGCATGTAGTGACAGCTCAAGAGAGAGTTGATTCATACTAAAAGGGAGTAAGTTTAGATTAGACATTGAGAAAACATTCTTTATTCTGAGGGTGGTTAGGCACTGGAACAGATTGCCCAGGAAAGCTGTGGATGCACCATCCCTGGAGGTGTTTGACACCAGGATGGGGCTTTGAGCAACATGCTCTAGTAGAAGGTGTCTCTGCCCATGGCAGAGGTATTGGAAATAGATCATCTTTTGCATCCCTTCTAAGCCAAACCATTCAAGGATTTAATGATTCTATGATCTTTCATGCAAATAAAAAGACCTAATCCAAACAAAGCCGAATTGCAAACTGTGCAATATGGACTCATAAGCCATACATTGGGGAAGCTCATAGAATCACATATATACACACTTCAGATTTGGTCTGATTCACAGTTATGGGAAATGAAGTATTCCTGTTGTAGGAACTTCATGTTCATAAATTTGTCAGCAAGAATTTCTTGCTTTTTAATGCAACCAATTGAGAGAGCAGATTACGAAATGACCTGCATGAAGGGAGTAACCACATATCTTTCTCAGACCATACATGACCCTGAGAGCCATATGCTGACATGAAGGAAGCAATCCTTCCAGCATGTTACAGAACATGAAAATTGCTAATGTAAAGTAACAGAACAGGTCTGCGGTTTCTGTGACATGTGGCTGGGTGCTGGTAAAGTGAAAGGCATGTCACATCCAAGGAGACAGCTTGTGATATGCTTTCCCTCCACTGGAATTTGGGCCATGTGTCAAATAATGCCTCAACATAAATTCAACATGTTGCAAGGTGTTTGGTCAACTGTGCGGCTAGTAGTGGACTGTAAGTCACATGCATACACAAATGTTAGGATTTTGTGTCTCTAACAGTCATACGTAGAAAATAAGATATATTTACATATATACATTTCTCTTTCATATATTTTTCGGAAGACTGTTGTACTCTGAATTTCCAGAGTTGATGTTTTGCATGGCAGAAAGTGAATGAAGACTATGACACATATGAAGTGGATCCTTAGAGACTCATAATGTATATAATCATAGTTACTCTATAGTTTAAAAATTAACTGTATTGATCAAAGTTTCATAAGTGGTGATAATGGGACTGTGTCAATTTAAAAGAAATATATTTTCCATTATAATATTTGCTGTGATTTGTATCCCTTTGTCTTCGAAATCACTATATGAAATCCTAGTTGGGCATCTCAGGAACAAGACAATAAATACCTCAGATGCAATTAAACCTAACATTCAGCTCTGAAATTTATGTTAATGGCAAAACCAAGCCTCAGAATTACAGAAACTTTTCTGAAAGTCAGTCTGTCTAAATTTCCTTGCAACATACAGCACCAATGGCTCTACATGTTTCGATACCAAACCTAATTGGAAATGAATCTTAGTCAAAGACTGACCACACTTTTAAGAGTATCAAAACTGAGTCTTTACATCCAAAACTCAGTTATATGCCAAACTGAGAACAATTTTGAAGTTCCCTGCAGCTGCTCTGACACACCAAATTCTTCAAGTTGCTTTTGGCTATCAAAAGGAACAAAAATTATATCTACAGTGCCTAATTTGAAAGGTACTTTGCAAGAACTGAAAGATGTAAAGGAGCCAAGATTTACCAGTTATTCGTACGCCAGGAAAAAACGTGTTTTCATATTACTTACAGCCTCTCACATTAGTTTGATGATTAAAAATTATTGTATAGCTGGAAAGGAATGTTTTTATACAACATGCTCCTAATAGGTAGAGCAAGTTGATAACAAAACCATCAGGAAGAGCATAATTAAAACACAATTTTGACTTCATATTAATAGTAGACCAATACACTAATTAAAACCAACATCGACTAAACTTTCTATTTACACTAGTTCAGACAGCACAGGAGGTAAAGAACTGTGTTTCAGAAGCATATGTGAATGTTAGAGCTTCTGTCATCCAGGTGCCATTTCTAACAGAACACATGTGTGCTGAACAGTTGGCAAAAGAATGAAAAAGATTACTGCAGATATATGGGCACACAGAATCTGGAATGACAGAAAATTAAGTCCATATAGAAGGTGACAGACTGCTTGTAAGAAGATTTCTTTTACTACAATTTCTTCCATCCTCATGCATGTGCACACATACACAAGAAAGATTAAAAGGGAGAGAAAGGATGAGGGCGTTTTGGTATATTTTAAACACAAATGAAGAAAAGACTTTTTATTTGGTACTTCTGCTTTCTTTTCAGAAAGCAACAGGAAACTAATCTGGTTATTAGGAAGCTCTGATTCCTAAATTTGGTCAAGGCAGACACTCCTGTGAAGTCAGCATCAATACCCATGATAATAGTAACACCTCGCTTTTGACATCAAAGTTCTCTGCCTGAGAAAAACATCATGTAAACAATAAACTTCATGTATTGTACTGTAGCTCCTGGCTTTGGTGTTAGACAAATACACTTGGCCAGGCATAAGTGTTCTTATTTTGGAGACCTGGAATGTGACTGATGTATTGCAAAACTTTCTTATTAATTTGGACTGCAAGAAATGGCATCATTTACTGTCTTACAGTGAAGGGACTGTGTGTTCCTATGTAGTCTTGTTGAAGCTGAAGAAATCTTGATGATAGATTCATTGCATCTGCTAGTTTTCATCTGGGTCCAGATCAAGGTCAACTTCATTGGAAACATTAAGATAAAAAAAAGCATAGAAAGCCAACAAAAATACCAGTATAGCTGCAAGGACAAGGGCAACTTCCTGTAGAAATAAAAGAAAACAAAAACCTGTTAGAAATAATACCATATTTTCAGATTAATCAGGAATAAATATTATTTCCCTTCTACAATGCACATCAAAATAACATCAGACAGAATATAATTGCATAAGGCATTGATGCTTTAATGATTTCTCTATTGTGGTTACCATTCCAAATGTTGTAGAATCCATTCACTTAATAAAGATTTTGGTGAATCTGATATACCATCAGAAAGAGGGTATTAGCTTAAAAATCTTTAGTCTTACCTATAAATAGGAGCTTTTTATATTTTTTATCCAATTCCTTCTTTTTTAAAGGAAAAGACAGAATTCACAAACCACAGTTTTGAACACAAATTTAAGTTATGAATTTACACTGTGAATTTTGATGTTTTCTAGCAATATGTTACTGCTTTTTGCCAACAAATTTGTAATTTTTTAATGAAGCAAACACAGTATGGTGGAAGTCAATGAAAATTGCTACCTCTACCTCCCAACCTCCTGGCATGCAGTACAACATGGAACTACAAACTCCTTCAGAATTGGATGAAACTTTTCTTTCTTCAGCTCTGCAATAAGGCAAAAAGCACAACAATTTGCACTTGCCTCTCTTCCCATAAAATATTGCAACTTGCTGCATCTTCCTTAATTAACATAAAAGACACTTCCAAAGTATACATGATTTATAGCAGCTTTCAGAAGCAGAAATATGTTTTTATACTACACATTATAGTCATTATGTGACTGCTATCATCTTAAGGCTGGACTCTGTAAAAATGTAATTATAGTACAATCATCCTCTTAATATTTCTTTTATTTCCTGTATTTCTTTCCTTTTTATTTATTTCAAAGACACCATATTTCTCCTTTTTAAGTTTTTATTTTTCTGTAAGGCACAGCACACTTCCTATAGTGTTGACTCTCATTTTGCCAGACAGTGAAATATGAAAGATAAATCTGAGAAAAATCCTTATATCCCTTCAGCTCACAGAAAGTATGACTCTACAGCTAACAACATCTACTGCTTGACTCCTGGTCATAATGATGAATTTTTAAAATTCTGCATTTGAGATGTTCCAAAGGTTAGTTTGTACCTCCAAATCCCGCTCTCTCTCTAAGGAAAGAAGCAAAACTTCCCCTCCAATTCTCAGCTTCATGTTAAGCTATAAAACAATTACATCAGAAGAACAAGCCCAAGAAAAAAAGTTCAGTGATTTTATAACAACTGATCTGAATTGGTAGAGAAGATGTCACATCAAACCTACTCTGTCAGCAGGACTGAAAGGAGATGCCTACACTGAACCAAGACAACAAGACACCCTTTACTTTCCAAGAACAGAACCTGTCCATCTTGTGTCCTCTAAGAGATGGCAGGCGAATTCCCAAAAATGACCATTTCTCCCCTTAGTCTAGAAGGGAGTGCAGATGGTACCTCTTTTTGTGCACTGTGGGATTAATCCTACCCAGCATCTCTAGGGTGGTGGTGGCTTTGTGACCAACATTGTGTTCACTGACATGAAGGAGTTAAAACTGTGCATTTCATTTTTTAAAGTCTAGCCCATATCTGGCATTCTTCTATAGAGCAGCATTTAATTTGCATTTACATGAATGCATTATATAGTTTATCAGAATGTCGGATCAATAATTCAACATATGCCATCTAATAAATTTTGAAATACTACTGCCTAGTTGGCATATGTTCTATAAGAGCATATTCTTTATTCTATAGAAACCTTTGCTTTATATTTTATATGGATGACTGAGATGTAGTTTAAATTTGTTTTACTACATTAAAATTGCTCCTGCAAATTTGCTGAGGCTGTTGGATACAGATTTCAACTACATTTTCCTCTTAGAATTGTACCACCCTCTGAACTTCATCCTCCTGATTTCATGATTTGATTTTTAAAAGAAGTACATCTAATTCACTCATATATTAAAGGAAAGTGATTTTTGCTTTGTTGCAGTTGCAACACGTCAGTATCTCACAAAAGGGCATGGCAGCATCAGACAGGTTTCATTTATTTCCTTGTATCCACAGCTGTGCTCCCAGACCCATCTGGCCACACAGCTACTAATCTTAAGAGGATGTAATAAACAAGTGACATACAACTGCAAGCTCCATCTGCTCAGGAGAGTGGACAACAAAACCATACATTGCAGGCACCGTTCACACTTGACACAGAGAGCAAATTCATTCCAGTATTAAAAAGTTTTTCTCTTGTTTGGATGCCACACGTCTCACTCTTTCTGCTTTACAATAGCTTTACCTTTGCCTTCCCTTCCCCCGGTCTCCCTTAAAAAATGCTGTGAATAGCAGCAGCAAACTTTTCAGGAACCTTTGCATTAAAGATTTGTTTCAAAGGAAGTGGAATTGGGAAAATCTTGAGGTTTTTTTTCTTAGGCTGCCTTGTAACTGCTTCATAGAAGCAGTTCTTTAATTCCTCTGCCTAAGTTTCACAATGAGTAACACTGTGATAACAATACTATTTTCCCTGCACAGCCATTAGGAACTGTGTGGGTGGATCATTATTTATTATCCCTGGGAATGAAAATTCCTCCTAAAACTCCAGGTTGGAGAGTTATGCAAGAACCTTAGTTTTGAGTTACTGAAAAAGGCAGAGTAACAAAAATATAAAATAAATGGCCTTACAAAGGACATCTGGCTCTTAGCTAGGGATATGCAGTCTCTTAAGAATTGCATCCAGTTTATGGACTTTTATAAGCATAAATTTTGCAAGGTAAATAGCAAATGAGATGCTGCACCACTGTACTGTATTTGCCACAACAGATATATATATTGTCATTTTAATTTGTTTTATACTTTTCAGGCTTTGCTATTTGTATTTTAAGTCATGCATAGAAATTAAGTGTTAAAATACTCCCTGCTTGGCATATATAGCTCCCTTTCTCTTGCACTTTATGGATCATCCCAATCATCCTCTGCAAAATCCATTTACTCAAAGGATTTTACCATGAATAATTAAAGAATAAAGAAAAAGTTTTATAGAAATAAACTTAAAATGATCAGAGGACCTTTTCTCCTTTTTTTTTTCTTTTATATCATGCTACAGAACACTAGAAAACAACATTTTTACTCTCAAATCCCAAAGTACAGTCATAGAAGCCTTTAAAAAGGAACAGAATTTTCTATTTTATTCTCTTACATGTAGAATAGCATATGTAGAACCCTACTGATTTCAGTTTGGTTAAGTTTTCCAGAAACTTTTCATAAAGGAAATGCATACCATTACAGCAAAATGCAGATTTAGTTCTCTTATCATTTTTTGTCATTTTTATGTCTCTCATGCCAAAATACTTGGATTATGTCCTCAAATTCACCCTGATGGAGCAAGTGGCAGAGCTGGGATCTAAACAAGATTAATCAGGAGAGGGGGCGAGGAAAAAATGTTGGCTATGATAACAGAAATCTGGACACTGTGTATGGCCCCTCATATCCTACACATATAGAGAAATATCATACTTCCAGGAAATGTTGGGGGGGGGGGGGGGGGTGTTACTTTTTTTTTAATTGCCCTTCAAATAGAATTACACCTTTTTTACCAGAAACCTGCTTAAAACTAAGTGAGAGTACCATAAATTTCTCTCTTTGAATTGCTAAACTATCCCTTGCTCTTTCTGAAAAGAGAGGAAAAGAAAATCATGCTGACCAAGGATACCTGTAAAATACATATACAGGAACTGACAATCTTTTTATCTCATATTTTTAACTGAAGACTTTAGGTGGATATTCACTGTGACCATGTTTTAGAGTTTCAACAAAAACATATTTATACATGAATGCTTACTTCCTTAATGCAGGACATTCTACAGCTAACAGAAGGCAACATAAGTAATTTATGAACTTTTATCCACACTTTTTAGGTTCTAATTTTTTACTGTGAAAATTTCAGATGGAAGAAAGATCATTGTTATCTCAAATAATGAGAACAAGATACTATAAGAGAGTCATCAAAAATACCTGGCTATATGCCTACAAAACAACAGGATTCATTTTAAAACAGCTAGATGCAAAATAATATATATAGGTATCAAAGATGCATACTGTACTTATAAAGTAGAGTACTCTGCCTTGAAAAACTGTGACTCTGTGATTTCTGGATGTACAAAGGTGGAGGGATTTCGAGCAGAGAGATGACCAGTATTTATTTTATCATAGAGAAGAATTAGAACTAGTTTGGTTACAGCATATAATTATATACACCTGTATTTAAGCAAAGCATTTCACAGTGTGGGGTCCTTTTATCCTGTTTACAATAAACTTTCAAGGCCCAGCTGCAGTTAGATAAGTTCAGCCTTGAACTAAATGCCATTTTTTAGGAGCAAGAATGATTGAACATTCTTCAGGAAAATATGGACTTCCATACCTGTGAGTCTTTTATCATCTGATCTCTCTCAAAGAAGTACATTTTTATTTTGAAATTGGAAAGAATACTTCAAATTTGGCTTGTGTGAAAAGAAGGACCTCGCTGCCAGGAGTCAGCAAACTCAACTCTCCTAGCTGCTCCTTGTCACCCTGATTCTTAAGATTTTCTAAAGCCTTCTGAGTTTACATTCTGTTACAAAACTTTTCCACACATTTTCTGTAAACAACATATTGTTTTGCATTCCTTCGTGGGGGTGGAGGAAGTTGATGTACTGGTGTTTTGTCCAATGTCTTTGGAGAGGTGGCCCATTCACTCTCCAATCCACTGTCACCTTTGGAAAAGTATAAAACTTGGAGTCAGAAGAATAAACTTTCTTCTTTTTTGCCTTGCCATCGTGGTGGCTCGTGTTGTGCTTTCTCGTATCCTATAGCGACAGCTCCTCTCCTTCAAGGCTCTAGGAAAACTCAGATTACTTCCACGGTCAGTGCTACATTCTGAACCCCAAAAACTACTAAGTTATTAAAAGTAACAGCACCCTATGTTTAACTGCTCAGACATTTTTATATTGCATCAAAAGTTTTCTGATGCTGACATTTTCCTCCATTGTATTGATTT